CTGAATTAATGAATGATGTAGTATATGGATTTTATGACATTTATTTTAGTTGCTTAGCATCTTTCTACTTATACCCCAAATTTTAACCAAATTGGGGAAAATCGTTAAGATTCCAAGATAGAAATCTCCAAGGTAAATGAGATGTTACTGTGCTTTTAACTGCGATATAAAGAAACAAGGCCTAGTTTGCAACATTTGAACACACTTTGCAAAAGGGTATTGATAAAACTTTACCTTTGATTTTTGATAGAGAGGAAAAAAATACATCAAAACTTTCTTAAAGATTCAGAGTTTGGGAATTTGCATTTTAAATCTTTGGATGTAGAAGAACTGGTTCCCATTCAGACAATAAAATTAATCTGTATTTAAGTGATCCATAAGAAAGAATAGGGTGAGCAAAAATGTAAAGGCTTGGGACTGGCCAGCTTGGCTCAGTAGCTGAGCGTTGACCAATGGTCACGGTTCGATTTTCGGGTGTAGGCTTAATCCCCAGTAGGGGGTGTGCAGGAGGCAGCCAGTCAATGACTCTGTCTCATCATTGATGTTTCTATCTATCTCTCCCTTACTCCCTCTGCAATCAATAAAAAACAAACATATTAAAAAAAAAAATGTAAAGGCTTGGGATAATAAAGCTCTGGTAGACCAAGCTTTAGACTAGACTCAGTCCCTCTTTAGAGGAGACAGAGATTTGTAAAAATTTTCGACAGTATCAATACTTATATTTCTAGGAAGTTATGAAATAAATACATGTACCTTTTAGGAAGATATTTTTAGGACTTCTAAAGGTACAACTTACTTTTTTAAAATTCTCTATAATTAGCAAAATCTGTTGTCAGCTGCTGAAGTGCTGTAGAAACAAGTGAATATAGATACTAGCTTCGTTTATGTAATACTGTTTTACAGACATATTGTCAAATTGTAGTTTTCAGAGGAAAACGTTATTTTTTTTTAAAACTGGAAAAATCTTGTATATTTGGAAAGTAGGAAACATACTTTTAAATAATCCATATGCATATACATTCTCTCACCTAATCCTCTTAACTATCATAATGCAGATCCCCATCTTAGGAATGCAGAAACTGAGATTGGAAAGAGAACATAATTTGTTCAAATTTACTCAGTTAGTCATGGTGAAACCAGGACTCAAAACCAGCCTATAGAACTCTAGAGCTTAGGGCTTTAATGATATTCTCCTTACACTACATCTCACTGGAATTCATAGATCCTCAAAACATGTTTTTCTTTGAAAAACTATTCTGAGTGTGGTAGACACAATAATGGCTTCTGAAGATGTCCATGTCTTTTTTTTTTTTTTTTTACATATATGTTTTTATTGATTTCAGAGAGAGGAAGGGAGAGAGAGATAGAAACCTGGAAACGTTGATGACGAGAGAGAATCATTGATGGGCTGCCTCCTGCCTGCCCCCCACTGAGGATCAAGCCTTCAACCTGGGCATGTGCCCTGACCAGGAATTGAACCATCACCTCCTGATTCATAGGTCCATGCCAACCGGGCAAGATGTCCATATCTTAATCCCTGGAGCCCATGAACATGTTATCTTAGGTTGCAAAATAAATTTTGTGGTTGTGATTAAGTTAAGGATTTTGAGATAAGGAGGTTATCCAGGATATTCAGGTGGCCCTGATTAAATCATAAAGGTCCGTATAATGGGGAGGTGGGAGGTGAGGGTCAGAGTGAGTGGAGAAGGTCAAAGTGATGTGGGGCCACAAGCCCAGGATGCCAACAGCCTATAGAAGCTGGAAGAGGCAAGGTGCCTAGAGACTCCAGAGGAACACAGCCTTGCTGACCTGTTTAAGACTCTGGCCTCCAGAGCTGTGAGATAATAAGCATGTATTGTTTTAAGCCACTAAGTTTGTGGTAATTTGTTTTAGCAGCAATGGGACATTAATACATTGTGGAAGCAGTTCAGTCACTCCTCTCAAAATTGAGTGCCTGCTATGTGCCAGGCAGTGTTCCAGGTACCTGGTGTCAGCAGGGAGCAAGACAGACCAGGGCCCAGCTCACCTAGAACTTATATTCGGAGAGTGCCTTGTGCTGCCACGGGAATAAAATTATGAAACAATAGAAAATAACTGGGCTAGGTGCTGCAGAGGGGCTCATTTTGATGGGGAGGGTGGGGGGATGGAGGGAGATTGGTCTCAGGAGGCCTCTTTCTGAGGAAGTGACATTTAAGCTAGGACAAGAATGATAAAAAGGAAGCAGTCATGCCATGCTAAGTTCTGGAAGGACAGACACAGCAAGTACTGGTGTGCAGAGACTTATGAAGCAGAGCTCCTTAGGATAACTCACCACCTCTTAGAGTCACAGAACAGGAGGTGGTGGCTGGGATCCCCTGCTCCACCACCAGCAGGAAGTCCTCTGGAGGTTCTTCTCATACACATGGGAGGAGGACATCCTTGGTTAGTGCCCAGTCATTGCCCATCCTTTGCTGTTTTCTTACAAATTTGGTAAAGAATTCACAGTCTGCTCTGAGAGCAAGAGGAGCCTTGGTTGTCAAAACCATGCACTGATGCTGTGACAGAGTCAAAATTTTCTTTTCTATTATCGCACTGTAAATAGTCTTTGTAATCTGCAGAACCTTGAGGAGCCAGCAGCAGCACCAGCCCTTCTGGGTTGAGCCCAGGCCTCTGTATGTGTCTCACAGAGGAGAGGGTTTCTGTTGCTGGCTACTTATGAATAAGCAGTGACAGCTGGAAATCACTTGTTCATCATGTGCATTCTCTACCCCTTAGAATCTAATAGTTGACATGGGTTTTGGAGAATGTTTATTCCTGTCGCCTGGTTCTATCAGCAAAACAGCAGCCCAGAAAGGGGACGTTACGTAAATGTGTTGTAAGCTTTTGCATCCCCTTCTTGTGTCCTCTGGAGTCCAAGAGAATGCACCCCAGAACAGGACTTCAGCTGGAATACTGAGCCTGGCTTTTTTTGGTCTTCTCTCCTACATCTTTTTAAAAGTAAAACTACCCTGTTCAGCTACTAACATTTTACTGAGGGCATTTTCTGCCTTGTGAAATGTGTTCTTTAATGGTCTTGATTCTTAATTAGGTTCTGACTTTTTGAGCCCTCAAATATTCTGCCTTCTAGAATTAGAATGTAAGTGACCATAGGGGCCCCATCACAAGCCCACCTGATCTCATGGGCTCAGGAAACTGTGGAAAGTTATATGGAGGTTCCTGCAAATTCTGTCACATTGTAAATGTATGTGCAGAGGGGTCTTTTGTTTTTTGGTTTTTTTAATGAATAGAGTAAGGTAGTTACACTTAGTAATACCCATTCACCAAAAGGAAAGGGGTGTGTGTTAAATCACTGTGTTTTTTTGATGAATGGCTTGTACACTGAAAAATAAATTGGACAAACTGGCATAGAGCTCAGTGAACATGAAATCAGCTATTAGAAGAAAGCTTGTGAACAAATTCTGTGGCAGATATGCATCTTTTGATTAATGCCCTATCAATCATCCACACAGCTACCTTCGCTAAGTCTTACTGTAATCATTCATAGTTGCTTTTGGAAACACTGGCAGAAACTATAGTGCTGCAGAAACGGAATATTATTACTCATTCCTCCCTAACTTACTGTGAACAATGACTGTTTTCACCATGTTTCTGCTTTCTTTTATTAAAGAAATACAATACAGAATGAAAGAATTCCTCCAAGCCTGGGGAAATTCTCCTAGGGTATTCTTAAGGATATTCAGTCTTAAATGGGCAAACTATTGTAATATGAGGTTCTCTGTACGAATAATAGTAATGTAATCCCGTTGAAGTTGCCTTTTATAGATTGTAATCAAAAAGGCAAAATGTGGAGTCACATTAATGAACAGAGTATATCTTCAGAATTCTTACTGAAAGTTCTTGAAACGGTTTGAATTTTGTTATTGTAATTATTATATTCTCAGTTAATGTGCTTAACAGCAATAGTAATTAATCCACTAAATTGTAAATTTGCATGAATTCTAGCTTTGGTATTACAAGAAATCCTGATTCTCTCTGTGGATTACACAGCAGGATGGGGGAAATATATATATATTTTTCACTGATTATTTTTTAAGAAAGAAATTTTCATAAATGCATTTATAGTTTTTCATGAATTTTTAAGCCATTGGCAAATTCCTCAAGGGCACTTCATTCTTTTAAGAGGATTTGATTCCTAAACTGTGCTGGCGCAAAAGATAATTTGGCACTGTCTACTAGTCACGAAATCTTTAGGTAATAGTGCAGTTTCCAAACTTACTGTAGCCTGGAAATCCTGTGGCATAATAAAGTAGTGACAGGCATTAGCATGTATAATCAGCTTTAATAGACATTTAATGCTATTTAACTGGAAGAGGGAGCTGTATTCTCCCATTGGAATATTCCTCAAAGCCCATTGATCACCAATTTCACCCACGAGAGGTTAATCTATCAGTTTCTGTAACCAGACGGCACTGATGGAAATCCTTTAGGTGGCATTCTGAATGAACCAAGTGTTCCATCTTTACAAACAAATGAGTGATATGACAGCATGGTGTTCAGAACACATTTAACCAATTGATTTTCTTTCCTCTTGTAATAAGATCTGGAGACATATGAAAGTGCACAGTGTGAGCCAAGATTAAAGGAATTGCTCCATGCACAGGAACATATGGGATTGAGAGCCAATAAAAGAACTATAAAGCTTGTAGTCACCCATTCTCTTTTTTTATATAAAGTTTGTTATTGCAGTAAATAGCTGTTATTGAGCTGATGCCTTTTGTTTCATTTTACTGAATCTTATTTCAGGTCTGTGTATGTGTGCACACACGTGTGTCCTGTCATCTTTCTCTTGGAGATTCTCAAGATGTTTGTCAATCATTGTTTTTACCTTCTAATTTAAACAGACAGACCTGATATAATTTGGGATTGTAAAACTAGGTGTAAAGGTATAAACATGGGGTGCTGCACTAGTCTCTGTGTTCTGTGTAAATGATGGTCTCCTACTCTTTATTTCTCCCATACAGCCCTGCCTTGAGTTTCACCTACCCTTCTGCACCTGTATCTCTCCATGTGCACCAACAAATCTTAAGCCGACAACAGAGTTTAGGCTCGGCCTTTGGACACAGTCCTCCGCTCATCCATCCTGCCCCAACATTTCCAACACAGAGGCCTATTCCTGGGATCCCTACTGTTCTGAACCCTGTTCAGGTCAGCTCTGGCCCTTCTGAGCCCTCCCAGGTGAGAGATAGCTCAATGAGCTGGTTGGTCTTGGTAATCATAAAGAAGAGCTGTGCCACTGTGCCAGCTCTTCATATGCACAGTACCCTGGCATTCTCAGGACTTCCATACCGTATGCAGCCTGTCTTCTGAACCCAGGGCTATCATCTTCAGTTTTGGTTTTATGTCTTTATTGATTTCATAGAGAGGAAAGGAGAGATAAACATCAGTGATGAGAGAGAGTCATTGATTGGCTGTCTCTTGCACGTCCCTTACTGGGGATCAAGCCCACAACCTGGGAATGTGCCCTGATCGGGAATCGAACGGCAATCTCTTAGATGACAGGTTGATGCTCAACTGCTGAGCCACACCAGCTGGATTCATCTTCAGTTTTGATGGATATGCTCTGTGTGTGCTCCTCAATAAACAACAGCTTCTTCCACCAGAGTCATTTTATCTTTGGTGGAAATGTGGGCTACTTGATAAGGCTTCATTTTGACCAAGTGCTGTTCATACCCCCTTTCAGTAGAAATGCATTCATAAATGTATTGCTTTCTTTTGGCCATCGTCCACTGGCGCTTAGAATTGTGTGATACTTCACACAAGAATGAAATTGTTCTCATCTCCACACTGATCATGCTCAGAGAAGAATCTGGTGGCTCTAATTAAAGAACTTTTCAAACAGTTCATGTTGGTTTCCTACCCTCCTCGCAGCTTTGTTCTTTTGAATACACTATTAGATCTTGTTAAAGCCCAGGCCCCCAGCTCTATTCTTCTAGCTTTTAAAAACCTAGGAATTTTATACTCACGTGGTAAAAACAAGGAGCTGCCTCATGAATGTATTTTCTGCTACCATTGTGTTGAAGTGTTATCAGAGTCATTGCTCCAGTGCCAAACAAGCCTGCTTCTTTCAAGTTGCATGTTTCTGCAATAGTCCTGCTCATTGATTAAAACCTATTTTTTTTCTCTGTTTCTGCAACTGTGACTGGCAGAACAAGCCCACGAGTGAGTCTGCGGTGAGTAGCACTGGCGATCTGATGCACAACAAGCGATCCAAAATCAAACCTGATGAGGACCTCCCCAGCCCGGGGCCACGGGGTCAGCAGGTGAGGCACCTGGGCTCTGCACTTGACAAAAGGCCAGTTACAGAGTCTGACTCAATTTGTTTCTCTAGCTCAGAAGCAAACACAACAAGTGCAGGAAGCTCTGTGAGGTTTAAACTATGGTTCATTGAGTAAGTGGTTGGGTTGTTACCACTGATGTAACCAAGCTTCAGTCCCTAGCCCCAATCTTGGGCCTCAGTTGTCAGCTCTTGGTCCTAAGCCTGAGCTGAGCAGAGCTAGTGATGTTCCCTATACCAGCCATGTTTTTATTCTTATTTTACCACTTCCCACTTGCCAGGACAGCCTGGAACACAGGGAGGGATCAAGGCACAATCAACCTACCTTAAGGCTACTTAGATTCTGGTCCTTTACCCAAGTCCTGAAAGGACTAATTTAGAAATTCTACTTAGGTCCTCTGAGCCTTGTTTAAAGATGTGCAGCTTACCATAATACCACCTCCTAGGGTCCCTGTGCCTGGCACAGGAAATAGGTCAATGAATATTAATTCCCAGAAATAGGGGTTGGACAAGAGTTTGGACATCCACAGAATCTGGACCTTGCTATGGCCTGGCTGCTTCAGCCCAAACTTCAAACAGCTGTAGCCCAAATTTTTGTTTTAGCTAGCTCTTTGAAGGTGGAATGAATGGGTGTCACGGATTCTGAAATTCATCCTTTTGCATTTTATTAGTCAACATCCTTTCTGGTTACACCTAAGTGCTTGTGTACAGTTTTTGTCATCTAGCCCCAGGTTAGAACTCAATTCTACACACCTAATTATCTCCCAAAATTCTGGAAATTCTTTGTATTTAAGTTGCTAAAAAGCTGCTTGAAAAGACTAGGAAAGACTATACACCTCCAAGCTTTAGATGCCTTGGTTCTTGGGCAGAGAGTGTATCATTGGATATCAGAAGTTGAACCAAGAAGACATTGTCCCTGTAAAATCTGCAAAGTGCCTCTTAAGAACAGCCTCCAATGGCAAGAAAAACAGAATTATGAGTAATTATTTCACTGGATTCCAAAATATGAGAATAAACAAATTAATACACTGAAAAGGATCTAACCAAAAGCGAAAGACCACTTTTTGGGTAAAAGGTTACTTGACCTAATTTAATTGCTTCTTTTATGGGATGACATTTTAGTTGTGTAGGGTTTTTTTACCTTTGTATCCAAAGATAGCAGAGTTTGGCCTCAACTTCTTATCATCATTATAGTTTGGACTGTTGTCCTTAATCACAAATTAATAATCTCTGAGGATGTAGTTGGTAAAGCTGAGAAAATGCACATGAATGATTCCATATGTTTGATTTCTTCCATTCACTAAACCCAACTGATAGACCTGGGTCTATTTTATTTTCACTGAAAAACTGCATCAGGAGAAAACAACTAAAGCAGATTTTTTTCATTCTCTTCTTTCCTGTCATTGTGTCTTGTTTCTTTTTTGCCTCTTCTCCTTCTTCTCTCCCCCTACCTATCAGGAACAACCAGAAGTAACCACCCTGGTGAAGGAGGAAGGGGACAAAGATGAAAGCAAGCAGGAGCCTGAAGTCATCTATGAGACAAACTGCCACTGGGAAGGCTGCACAAGGGAGTTTGACACCCAGGAGCAGCTGGTGCATGTAAGTGAAAGAGACTTGGGAACTGAGCTTTACAACTATGTGACCTTTTTCCCAGGATCAGCTTCCTTGACCCTGCACTGAGTCAAGTTTCTTAGCTAACAGCATTACAGACTAGAGAGGCCTTGATGACTTTCTGAGAATAAAAAGAAATCTGAGAATAAAGAGAACTCTGAGCCATGGTGCCTGACCTGTTCAGTCAGCTAAAGCTTAGTGTAAAATTCAATAAAGTCTTCAATAAAGAGTGTAATGACTCTGATCCTGTAAGTCAGAGAACACTATTTTGAGTTAGCGACTTTGATGGTTATTGAGTAATAGTAAGCTGGACATGAATTATTATTAACCTTTTAACCAAGTTTGAGTCTCCTTTCCAAGAATAACAGAAAAAAATTGTAGAGATGGGGGATACCTTTTTTTCATTCTGCCTTCCTCTCTCACACCCTGAGTACTTCAGGAATCTCCTACTGTTTTATCTAGCAATTAGTATTGTATGTGAGATAGGTGGACGCTTGGGGCAAGCTGCTAATTTGCACAGTTTTTTACTTGAGGCCAACCCTTGTAAGGCTAATAGTTTCAGGGAAAAAGTGGTATTATTGTAAAATGTGTTTAAAGATGTCTTCTTGAAAATACTGTGGCATGGTCAGATTGAGAACCACACCTTCTCTTGCCATCCCAGGTTCTGAAGTCTTTTCCCTTATTCCCCTGTGTATTGTTTCAAATACTGCAGGGCTCCCCCGCCATACACTTATACTGATTAGCCATATGTCATTGGCCAGTGTTTCATTTTATTTGGCACTTTCTTTCAGGCCAGTGGAGTCTCCCTGGCAAATGGGACCAGGAGCAACTGAGATGGAAGGGCATTTAGATAATCAAGAAAAAAAAGAGGTAGCTCACACACTCTAGTGCAGAAAGACAGGGTCCCATTGAGGCATTAAGGATGGATGGTTTGCTAAGTGTGCAGTTTCATAAGGTTTTAATCTAATGGAAAATCTGACAGAACAGCTTTTGTTGTGACTCCCTAACCTCCATATGCACACTCATTCTCTTTTCTAGTAACTTTTTATTTTTAGGTGACCCATATTTCTTGATAACCCTCTTCCATTTAAACACTAAAATTATAAAATTTCTCACACATCCCATATGTTTTACAGGCTGCATGAGCCTTTTAAGTGTGTCTTCTGCAACTTGGCCCATCCTGGGTAATACGTTTCACACATTACAGTTACATTATAGTATTAAATATATGATTTGCCTGTTTTGAGATCGGTTATAAACAGAATGTTTTGAGGATTTGACATGACCTCAGCAGGGTTTTGTCCCCCTCTGTTTCTTTTTCAATCATATCTCCTTATAATGGTATAGGAAGAATTATAGATTTCTCAGCACAGCAAGAAACTAGAAAATCAGATGGTTTTAATTAAGATATATTTCCAATTTTTTTCATGAACTTTATTTTTTCTCTTTAACTTGATGCAAATGTTATTTTATTTTTTTAAATATTATTGTTTAAAATATTACAGATGTCCCTTTTTCTCCCCAATGACCCGTTCCACCCCATTCCTTCCCCCTCCCCAGTCCCTCTCCCCACCATTGTCCATGTCCTTGGGTTGTGTATATATGCATATAAATTCTTTGGTTACTCTCTCCCTCTCCACCCACCCACCCTCCTCCATCCCTCTAACATTCATCAGTCTCATCTATGCTTCCATGTCATTGAATCTATTCTGTTCATCATTTTATTAAGTTCTTTAGATTCCACGTATAAGCGAGGTCATGTGATATTTGTCTTTCGCTGCCTGGCTTATTTCACTTAGCATAATATTCTCCAGGTCCATCCATACTGTCCCAAAGGGTACGAGATTCTTCTTCTTTACAGCTGCGTAGTATTCCATGGTGTAAATGTCCCACAGCTTTTTTATCCACTCATCTACTGATGGGCACTTGGGCTGTTTCCAGATCTTAGCTATTGTAAACTGTGCTGCTATGAACATCGGGGTACATATATCCTTTCTGATGAATGTTTCAGGATTCTTAGGATACATTCCTAGGAGTGGAATCACTGGGTCAAACGGCAGCTCCATTTTTAATTTTTTGAGGAACCTCCATACTGTTTTCCATAGTGGCTGCACCAGTCTGCATTCCCACCAGCAGTGTACTAGGGTTCCCCTTTCTCCACACCCTCGCCAGCACATGTCGTTTGTTGATTTGTTGATGGCAGCCATTCTGACAGGTGTGAAGTGATACCTCATTGTGGTTTTAATTTGCATCTCTCTGATGATTAGCGACGTTGAGCATTTTCTCATGTGTCTCTTGGCCATCCGTATGTCCTCTTTGGAGAAGTGTCTATTTAAGTCCTTTGCCCATTTCTTAATTGGGTTGTTTGTCTTCCTCTTGCTGAGTGCTATGAGTTCTTTGTACACTTTGGAAATTAGCCCCTTATCAGATTCATCCTTGGCAAATATGTTTTCCCAGACCATGGAGTTCCTTTGTATTTTGAGGCTGTTTTCTTTTGCTGTGCAGAAGCTTTTTAGTTTGATGTAGTCCCATATGTTTATTTTTTCCTTTGTTTCTCTTGCCCTAGGAGATGTATCAGTGAAAAGTCCACTACGTGGGATGTCTGTGACTTTACTGCCTATGTTTTCTTCCAGGATTTTTATGGTTTCGTCACTTACATTTAAGTCTTTTACCCATTTTGAGTTAATTTTTGTGTATGGTGAAGATTGGTGGTCTAGTTTCATTCTTTTGCATGTATCTGTCCAATTTTCCCAGCACCACTTATTGAAGAGACTGTCCTTTCTCCCAAGTGTTATTTTTAAGCCACGCCTGATTTAATGGCCCTTTATTCTTGCTGTCTGTTTTAATGGAAACCACAGACATTGTCATACTAAAGGGGAAAAAGAGGTTTTGAATTTTTATTTTAATGTAGAGAAATATTCCCAAATATTAAAATATGCCAAGAATACTCTGAGTGATATAATGAGTGCTGAACATAAATGAGGGAATTGTTTGTGTGACACCTGCCGTTATAACCTAGAAGTTGGCAGTGCTTGTTAAAATGTCCTTCTGAGAGACAGTGCGGTCTCATGGCACCTTTTCTGTGGATTAGTTGTTGTAGTTCCCAAGGAGTGCTATGATTGTGGTTCAGCCATTATCAAATGAGGAATGAAATAAGAGCTTACATTTAAATAGGAAGTGTATATTTAAAGGGAATTGTGCTGATTAGAAGCCAGGTTTGAGGTAAAAATTTTTGGGTTGTCGTAATAACTTAAACTAAGCTCTTCAAAAACAGTGAAATTGCAGTTTTTGTACTTAATATCAGTGGTGGAAGGTTTTAGGCAGTGATGTTGTTTTAATAGTGAGATCTGAATAGTGTTAAGGTAAGGCTGCTTAAACTATCAATTAAATAACCGCCATGTTTTCTGATTTATTGTAAAAATATGAATGAATACTGTAATTTTTTAAAAAAATCCAAATAACTGGAAGAAATTTATGTTATAATTAGAAGGAAAGTTAATATATTATCTGTATGACATTTATTTTAGTCTGAGATAAATTATGGGTAAATAAACTTGTTAAGTGAATTATAAGTTGTAACTAAAATAATATAAATAAAGACACTAGTTTATATCACTTATTTGCTAGCTTTTTACTTGTTATCTGAAGTGTGGACATTCCAAATTTGTGCCTTTAAACTGATTTTACTTTGCATGACATACAACTACTTTCATACTCATGGGTGTATCTGGTAGCAGAGACCTATTATAGAATAGGTGCTTTATTTTTTGTTGATTGAATGAATAGGTACTCTATTACTTTGATGGTAGATAGAATAGGTACCAATTACTTTGATGGTAGATAGAAATAATATAACTTGCAAAAACCACCTTTTTAGGGACAGAAGGAAGCATTAACTGCTTTCATTCTTAAGACTTTCCTTGGAGAGAAGACATTTTGTGAATTCATTGCATTTTCATGATACATACAACCAAGAGGCAAGGTGTTAGACCATTCTGATGCTGTGCCATATTTATAGCCATGACCCATTCTTTTTCCCTCTCTTACAGTTAATAGAAAGATTCATGATTCTTCATGGTTGTCTATCTAGTGTCTGACAGTCCCGACTGCCTGCTAAAGCAAGTCACTATCTATAATTGATATCCTTCTGTGGAATAGGGTGCTGGCTGCAATTGAAGGGCTTTGCTGAAAGCTCTTAAATCCTGACAAGTTCTCCCCTTGTTCTGGTTCAGTCGCTGAGCTGCGCAGTTGGAATTCCAGAGTCATTTGAACTTAGTGCAAAAGGGAGACATGTGTTTCACATTAGCAAATCACAAGGTTGAAGGAAAATTAGGGAATTGGCTGACTCTGCCCGCCAGGTAGTCTCATTTCCAGTGTAATTCACTCCATGTTCTCTTGAAAAGATTACCTCGTCCCATTACTGTCCCAACAGATGGGCTAAGTATTGCCTTCCCCTTCTCTTCTTCTTTATTTCAAGGCCCTGTCCTTCTCCAATTGTGTATTTATGCTAGGTTTGCCTTGGGTCTTTATCTCTGGATGTTTAATTAATTAAGTCCAATTAACTAATAATTGGACTTAGTTACTCTCAAGCTAGTATTAAATCTTATAAATTTACTTCTATGCCCAGAAGCTAAGAAGATAAATATATTTTTGTTAACTAGATTTCTGTTGTACTTTGCTCCTTTCTTGATAGCAGTTAAAATAGAAGGAAACAAGAGAGGAAGAAGGATATATAGAGCAAAAGTTAATTAATTTAAAATACCTTTGATTAAGAATACATTTATTATTATTGTCAAGATGCAGGCGCTTTCTCATCCCTTGACATCTGAAAGCACATATTCTAACATCCCAAAATAAATTGAAAAATCCACATTTTCCCTTCAGTTCTAAGTTAATTAGAACCCTCTTTTTCTGTTGTGCATTATATATTACAAAAGTCATGAATGTTAAATTTAAATTCGTAGAATATCAGCTCTCAAAGTGTGGTT